GGCCCTATCTCGAGTCTCGAATTCGTCCTTCATATCTCACGAGCTGCAGTAAAACAGAAATCTCCACGCGGAGAGAAGTTGCTTTGAAAACGTCAGTGTTTTCTTAATCATACCCGGCATTTTTAGTAATACAGAAAATTTGTTGCGAAAAATATCATCTCAGCCAGGGTTTGAACCGAGGGGGAAACCGCTGTAGGCATTGTGGTGTACATATTTGCGACATTACTGCACTGAGAAAAATGTCCGATTAAATATAATCGGATAATCCAATTACATGATAACAAACGGATATATCCGATTAAATTGTATATCCGATGAAAAATTTGATCGGTTTTTCAATCAAATTTCATCGGTAATTGCATTTCATCGGATAAATTTCATCGGATATATCCATAATTTAATCGGAAAACGTAATCGGAAAAATTAACCATCGGACATACTATTTAATTGGTTTATCCGATGAAAATTTTTCTCAGTGTGGGCATTACTAGGCATCACTAGGCATTTTTTGGGGCATTAGTTTGGGCATTAGGTCTTGCTGGGGTATTAAAAAGATAAAATAAGATAAAGTAATTGCCCACTGGGCATTAGTGGGCATTGGTGTACAAGATTTTGGTCAGCGGTTTCCCCCTCGGTTTGAACCTGGACCTCCCTACACTCTAGGCGGGCGTCTCATCAATTCGACCACTGAGGCATGTGGTAATATTTGTCGCGATAACAGTGTAAAGATGTTGTCTACGCGTCTATTTTTCGACTTTATTACCACATGCCTCAGTGGTCGAATTGGTGAGACGCCCGCCTAGAGTGTAGGGAGCATCTGGGTTTAAACCCTTTGTTTTTCTCCGAGAGAAGGGAAAAACGCTTTATGCGTACCTTCAGGCCGTCCTGGAAGGTTCAAACCCTGGCTGAGGTAATATTTTTCGCAATAAATTTTCTGTATTATTCAAAATGTCAGGTATGGTCAAGAAAACACTGACATTGTTAATTACCGCTGGCGACATTGAAGAATATTCTGATTAGTTTCTTTGAAAAATTATCCTGCAGAATCATGTAATCGTGGAGCAACGTGGCGTTTCGAAGAATTTTACAAGAGCCTTATGACTTTTTACCATACATTTTACTAGTAAAAGCAACACGACATATTGAAGAATTTTATAAGAGTCTTTGAAATTTCACCATATATTATAATAAAAAATTTTCAGGATAAATTTTAAAGGAAAAGTCTCGTTAGAGTTTTCCAAAATGCTGTGTTGTCCCGCGATCACATGATCTCCAGGAACAAATTTTAAGAGAAAATTCTCTCCGTGTAGTTGAGGTGATACTCTTCGCAATAAATTTTCTCGACGATAACGAGGATTTACAAAATGCTTATCACCATGAAATTATTTATTATTATTGATTTAAAGTGGCATTTCAATTTCGGCAAAGTATTTATTATTATCGATTTAATTGAAATTCAATTGAGTAGACATCTCAGTTTTGGCAGAGTATCAACGCTCACTTTAGACGAGCTGTAATTCGACAGATCTCTCATAGATAGAATCATATTTATAAAATTATAAATATGACTCTATGTTGCATTTGGCTACACGTTTTAACATGCATTTCATATGCGTATGCATTTCCGAGTCTGCAAATATTCGCGTTTCACGGTACGTGAGATTAAACTTAGAAAACACTCTATCTAAAGTTTCTAGAGTCTGGCGTGAATCATGCATCGTCTAAAATGAGTTGAGGATCGAGTGGTAGCCGAGACACGTGTGATTCAAGATACAGCAGTAACGTTTACGACTCGCGAATTAATATTGAGCCGACGATGTGCTCGATGATGTAAGGTGCCCTATTTACTTATTTGACGTTGCATCTACATGCATATCCATCGTCATTTGCCTCTTGTCAGACCCGCGGCATATTTTCGGGCGGCAAAGCCTCGAAGACTAATGAAATTCGAACGCGAGCGAGCGTATGAACGAGAGAGAGAGAGAGAGAGAGAGA